CAATAAAAATTATTAAATTTGAAGTTGTTTGGACGTCGATTGTGATATTACGTTACGCTAGTAGCAACAATTTTATTAAATTATGCTCTTTATTACAAATTTTCTTGGCTAATTTGTAATCAAATAAATAAAATAATTATGTTAAGAAATAAATTATGGTAATTATGTATTAGCATAATAAACAACAATATTTCTCAATGTATTATGAAACATCCGAAATTTCTTGCGACTAATATGCTATCTAGCGCTAAAATCTCTTACAAGCAATTACAAACTGGTGCTTGTAGCGGGACCATTATAAGCCGTTTACCGTAATTTCGAATTTTTAATAGACGCCTCGCCAGCCGCTAACACCGTACCGCTTTTGTCGTTGGTGCACAACACTCTCACAATATGACGATATTAAAATAACTTCGCAAAACGCTCGGCGGCCGGCTATATTAAAACTGAATTGTTTCTGTCCTTTATTTCCTTCTTTTTCTCTTACTATTTCCCTTTACAACACGCTGTCGTCATTGCTTCTTACCCCTCTACCCCCCTGTCGACTGCAAGCAATTCTTTTCTTAACGGGTTTTATTTGAAAATAATTTAGAAGTTTTTATCAGAAATGCAATAAAAGTTATTAAATTTTAAGTTGTTTGGATCTCAATTCTGATATTGCCTTAGGCTAGGAGTGCCAATTTTATTAAATAATGCCATTTATCACAAATTTTCTTGGCTAATTTGCAATCAAATAAACAGCTATACATCCATTTTTTTGTTGTTTCTATGTGGATATTATTTTTGAGTAATACTTATTTGGATTTAGTTCAGAAGGTTAAGATATAAAAAATTAAGAAAATGCGTCTCATAATATTTTCGATTATGTAAATGTTCGTATCTGTTTTCATACTCCGAATAGCCTGTAAATGCTTAGATTCTAGATATCTCTTGGGCAAAATAGCAAACAGACTACACGTGCTGTTGGTTTATTATCCTCAATACAAAATCTGCATTTCTTAATAAATTTCATATTATAAACTTTACTACCTTCTAGTGTTTAATGAAGTCTATCATATATTTTTGTTAAATCTTAAAGAGTAAAACTCTGAGTTACATTTAAGATTAGATGAAAAGTTGGCATATACTGTCCTAAGAATAAGTATCAAGACATAATTATGGTAAGAAATGCATTCACTAACTATAGAAAAAAGAGCTTGGTAACATTATTATCCAAGTTGAAAGTATTTGAAATATTGTGTACAAAGACAAAAATAAGGCTGGTTCACGAAAAAAGTATTTTTGAACGATGATATAATTAGAAACTAGTTTTAATTCTATTAGGTACAAAAATACAAATTTAAAATAGCTGTAATAAGCCACAGCATTTTGCAATGTATTTTGAAACATTCGAAATTTCTTCCGACTAATATGCTATCTAGCTCTAAAATCTCTAACAAGCAATTACAAACTGGCGCTTGTAGCGGGCCCATTATAAGCCGTTTACCGTTAATTTAGAATTTTTAATAGACGCCTTGCCAGCCGCTAACATCGTACCGCTTTTGTCGTTGGTGCACGACACTCTCACAATATTACGATATTAAAATAACTTTGCAAAACGCTCAGCGGCCGGCTGTATTAAAACTTAATGGTTTCTGTTCTTTATTTTACTCTTTTTCTCTCTTTCCCTTTACAACACGCTGTCGTAATGGCCTCTCACTCCTCTACCCTCCTGTCTGCAAGCAATTCTTTTCTTAACGGGTTTTATTTGAAAAGAGTTTAAAGCTTTTTATCGGAAATGCAATAAAAGTTATTAAATTTTAAGTTGTTTTATAATTTTATATTATAAACTTTACTAACTTCTAGTATTTAATAGTCTATCGTATAATTTTCTAAACCTTAAAGACTAAAATTCAAATTACATTTAAGATTGGAGAATAAGCTCACATAATAAGCATACACTGTCTTAACAATAAGTATCAAGACATAATTATGGTAAGAAATGCATTCACAAACTATAGAAAAAGAGCTTGGTAACATTATCTAAGTTGAAAGTATTTGAAATATTGCGTATAAAAACAAAAATAAGGCAGATATGCGAAAAAAGTATTTTTAAATGATGATATAATTAGAAACAAGTTCTAGTTATATTAGCTACAAATATATAAATTTAAAATATCTGTTAAATTATGTATTAGCATAATATGCAACAGTATTTCTTAATGTACTATGAAACATCCGAAATTTCTACCGACTAATATGCTATATAGCGCTAAAATCTCTTACAAGCAATTACAAACTGGCGCTTGTAGCGGGCCCATTATAAGCCGTTTACCGTAATTTCGAATTTTTAATAGACACCTTGCCAGCCGCTAACACCGTACGGGTTTTGTCGTTGGTGCACGACACTCTCACAATATTACGATATTAAAATAACTTCGCAAAACGCTCAGCGGCCGGCTATATTAAAACTTAATGGTTTCTGTCCTTTATTTTCCTTCTTTTTCTCGTACTCTTTCTCTTTACAACACGCTGTCGTAATTGCCTCTTACTCCTCCACCCTCCTGTCGACTGCAAGCAATTCTTTTCTTAACGGGTTTTATTTGAAAAGAGTCTTGAGATTTTTATCGAAACTGCAATAAAGGTTATTAAATTTTAAGTTGTTTGGATCTCGATTTTGATATTCTTTACACTAGAAGTACCAATTTTATTAAATAATGCCCTTTATCACAAATTTTCCTGGCTAATTTTTAATCAAATAAATAGTTATTAACACCAAGAGTTTCTATGTGAATATTATTTTTGAATAATACATGTTTGGATTTAGTTTAGAATGTTAAGAATACGTTAATCAATCAGGAAAATGCGTCTCATGATATTTTCGATTATGTAAATGTTCGTATTCGTTTTCATACTCCGAATAGTCTGTTGATTCTTTGACTCTTAATCTAGATGGTGTTTTCGAGCCAAAATAGGAAAATCGAGCCGAAATGAATATTTTGCAAAACCTGAAAACAGAAAATTTCCAGAAAATAATAAATAGTGAAATGATAATAATATATCTATTTTAATTTTAAAATAGAGTAAAAATCGTTTTTAATTTTGTTCGGTTCATTATTTTCTTATTTAAAAAATTGCCATACATTGCGTGTGAAAAAAATACACAAGGAAAGTTGTAGGTAGGAAAGTTTGAATTCCAACCACATTATTGTAATAGACGCAAACTCTCAGAAAAATCAACATTGAATAGAGATTGACTTGTGCTGACAAGGTAAGAAACTTAAAATCGAGCAAAAACAATTTATTACACTCAAAACAGTGTGTTCGTTATTAGAGGTATGTGTAGTTATTAGAGGTATTCAGTAGTGTATGGTAGTACCGAAGCCATAAAGTTATAATTAAACTTAAAACCGGTTAAAGGGTTGTGTTTTATTCTAGAGTATGGAGTATGCTTTCGACCATCACTGTAATCTAATTCTTGTTTGAAAATCAATACCTAATATTATCCTGATGATTTTGATTTTTGATAGATTATTAAAATACAGCACTTACAGTTAACTATATTTCTTCACAGTACCTACATGGTACCTACAATTTTATGTATTTCCTACTTCAATTACTACAATTTTATGTATTTCCTACTATGTTGTAAAGAGAAAGAGTACGAGAAAAAGAAGGAAAATAAAGGACAGAAACCATTAAGTTTTAATATAGCCGGCCGCTGAGCGTTTTGCGAAGTTATTTTAATATCGTAATATTGTGAGAGTGTCGTGCACCAACGACAAAACCCGTACGGTGTTAGCGGCTGGCGAGGTGTCTATTAAGAGGTATGTGTAGTTATTAGAGGTATTCAGTATAATGGGCCCACTACAAGCGCCAGTTTGTAGTTGCTTGTAAGAGATTTTAGCGTTAGATAGCATATTAGTCGGTAGAAATTTCGGATGTAGAGGTAAGGAGAAACAACTCTTACGGGACTTTTATTGAAAAAGTGGTCACAAAATGGGAAGAATAAGGGTTTGCCAAATAACCACAGTGGCGCTAAAAACGCATGAATCTAAAAAATGAAAAGTAACCATAGATAAGAGAAAAGAGAATAAAAATAAATATAACCAAACATTTCCCAAAAAAATTTTGTTTTTATTTTTCAGACAAAGTTTTTGAATATAAAATAATTATTGTTTATCAATATTTTGTGCTTTATTTATTATTTAACAATGGTTAAAGTGTGTGTGGTGCGAAGTTGATTTAATAGCTGATGGAAAAATGAAGAGCAAAGGCAAAGCCTACGGTATGTAAAATACATAATATAATTCAGTATTGTATTATTTGTATTATATGTAAAAATTAGAGTCAATCAAAAGTGTAGTAAACATTTTTCGTAAGATTATTGACATACATGTTACAAAGTATATTTTTACAATCCTTTTTATAAAGTTACAATCTAAATAAAATTTATTTTTAATGATTTTAAAGTTTGACAGACATGCACAAATTGTTGGCATTTTTTTAAACAAGTAAAAGTAGGAAATACATAAAATTGTAGGTACCATGTAGGTACTGTGAAGAAATATAGTTAACTGTAAGTGCTGTATTTTAATAATCTATCAAAAATCAAAATCATCAGGATAATATTAGGTATTGATTTTCAGACAAGAATTAGATTACAGTGATGGTCAAAAGCATGTAGATATCGCTTTGAAATCTACAGATAAGGTTCACAGTTTCATTTTAAAGAACAAGATGTTAAAGTTTGTGATAAAATTGTCATCAGAAATACTGTCCACTTCAGTATTTACATAGGAAAATATTGGAGGATGAAGCTCTACCTACTGCCTCAGGTTAATTTAAATTCTGAATTGCAACAACAGCAACAAGCAAGAAGGGCACCATTAAATGAATATTATACACATACGTATTATTATACACAGAAAGAGTAATGTTATACACATAAATATTAACATTTTGTCGAGCAACAACAGAATAAAAAACCAAAATATGAACACCAGACCAAACCAAACCAAAACTACTGTAACATCATAAATAAATTGTATACCAACACATAATGTCCAAACTTCAACAGACTTTAATATTCATAAACCTCATCAGAAGAAAATATTTTTTGATCCAAAGTTTTTTTTTTTCGTTATTAGAATAAATTACCTGCAATTTGTTAATTCATTACAACATAAAAGATGCAAAGTGTTTATACATACTATAATAGATAAATCTTCATTTAAAATTATATGATAGATCTGCTTGCTTGTAGGATCTAGAATCATATACTCAATTTCTTTTATTGATATAACCAATAAACTGGTAATGCTGAAATTTTGTTTTTGATTTGAGCAATAGGGTCCATTATTTCCATTATTTGATGCTGTTATTGCTCTACAAAATGTTGATCTTTATCAAGGGATGTTTATATGTATAATATTACTATTTATGTGTATAATAATACTGTATGATCGAAAAAACACGGCGTCCGGTTGGCTTGGAAATGAACATCTCGATGACATTCTCCATATCATTTTACATATACAATGACAGCAATCTTCATTTCATAGGCATCGCTGACGCCGTTTTTTATTCGATCAAATTGTACTTACGTGTATAATATTCATTTAAGGGTTCCTGTTTTAGTTGCTGGTGTTCATATTTTGGTTTTTTATTCTGTTGTTGCTCTACAAAATGTTAATATTTATGTGTATAACATTACTCTTTCTGTGTATAATACAGTAGTTAAACCATCCGAGTACGAAACATGTTCAAAATCCACTATTCTTAATGAATGGCAACTACCAACTTGAGAGGAAGCTAAGAGAAAGGTTCTATTGGGTGGACTACAAGGAAAAGGGACATATACATGAGGATCTGGAAGGGCTATAACATTACGTCTCAAGCCATGGGACAATAGGAAACGAAATTGAAAGGAAAATATTACAATACATGGGATGCAAATTATAGTGCAAAGAATTGAGAAAAATAATTATTAAAAGTAGTTATTGTTACGATAGTTAAACCATCCGACTACCAAATATATTTAAAATCCACTATTCTGAATGAATAGCAACTACCAACTTGGGAGGAAGCTGCGAGAACAATTCTATTGGGTGAACTACAAGGAAGACATGAGCATCTGGAAGGGCTATAAAATTATATTATTTCACGTCCCAAGCCATGTTGGAATAGCTGGGAGTGAAAAAGAAGATAATACTGCACACGATTCTTGTCTAGAAGTAGTTGATATTATGGTAGTTAACCCATCCGATTATCGAACATTTAAAATCCACTATTCTGAATGAATGGCAACTACGATGGTAAAACGTAAATAAATACTTGTACAGTATAAAATTATATTATATTGGCTTAATTTTTATACTAAATAAAATGTGTTACGTTATTTTTGACCTGCATTATATTTATTTAAATCCAATATCATCAATTAAACTTTTAATAAAGTTTTCCTAATTATAATTAACATTAATTTTAAACTAAAGTTTTTTCATCTTGAATGAGATTTACGAAATAACTTATGAGAAACAATAAAAAGAGGCTCAGTCTATTGCTTCTGAATAATCGGTAATAAAACCACATATTGACTTACTTTTATACTAAATAAATGTAGGTATGAAGTTATTTTAAAGCTGCATTATATTTATTTTAAACCCATCACCAATTATTACTTTAAATAAAATTTTTCTTAATTATAATTACCATTAATTTTAAGTTAAAACGATCAGAATATTTTTTCGTCGTCTTGAATGACATTTGCGAAATAACTTATGAGAAACAATAAAAAAAAAGGGCCTAGTCTATTGCTGCTGAATAAAAATCTGTAATTTATTTCATGCAACATGAAAATAAAATTGTATTTTTTTGAAACCCGCGGTTTCGCGTTTGCTTCACGTTAAATATTTATGTCTTGAATCTTGAATCATCTGTTCTAAAATGTTCGGCGCATGTCTTACATTTTAGGATCTTGCTACAGCAGCGCCATCCTAATTCTTCCCTTTTTTTGACCATTTTTTAATGCACGGAGTTTTTTCTCCTTACCTCTACACTCCATATTCTAGAGTTATTTATTATTATTGTGTATACTGAAATAGATAAATTCATCATAATGGCACAACTAGTATTTCTGCACGTTATAATATAGGTTATTTTGTTCACACCTCTTCTGATTTTTCACCTTTTTTCAACAATTTTTACTTGTTAATTGCATTTTCTCAGATGAATAATTAGAAATATACCTAGGTCATTTAGAAAGTGACATTGTTGCGTCCCTTTTAGTGCCGTAACCATATCAGTGATTAAGAAATTGGTGAGAAGACCGTGGGAAAATTTGATGTGAACAGGCAGTTCCAAAAAATTTTCGAAAAATATACAGGGAAATTTAAAAGTAAATGCACGATTTTCAACATCTTTTTTGCGAAAAAACCTCATAGACGTGTTCCTGGGGTCGAAATATACCATCCCTGAAAATATTTGCATTTATTTAAGACTCACCCTATATATGGAATATTTATATTATATATATATATTTATATATAATAATTTACAGAGTTGTAAATAAAGGATTAATATCTTCTGGTAAACTTTACAGATATATTCATCTTATATAATTGTTCTTACTTGTGTGACTTGTTATACATTAATAACAATTACTAATTGTACAATACGCTTCAAGAAAGAGAATACAGTATTAGGGCTTTGCTCGAGCTTAATTACTTTTACAATTTTAATAGCGAAAATTCGAATTAGTTCTTGCAGCGAGAAGGATTTGCGGAGAGCTTTGCAGGCGGATGGATCAACAGTGGAGCAGGAAGTTGGGACACTAGTAAGCTGAAGTTAAAACTGTTTTCTTTTAAAACAAGAGGGTTAATTTACATACTAACCGCTTATTTAAGTGTTTAAAATAATAAAAGGAATGAATTGTTCATGGTAGAAATGGATATATGCAGTGTGAGTTTTCTACGATGTTTTCTTGGGTATAATTATCGGAAACAACTGGAAATAGAGAGTCGGCTAAAAGGGGAAAGAATTGCTGTTTTGTAGGGTCATAATATCGGCCTTTCAGATTTTTAAAAAATGGCAAAAAGTTCATGGCTTACTAGATATTTCGAAGAAAACAAATTTCGGCTGTTTTAAAAATTGTTCCAACTTCCATTATAATCTATTTTAGACAAAAAGATTTCAGATAAAAGTTGTAGATAATTACATCCGTAATGAGATTGTGTTCTCCCTTTTTTTCTAAAGCCTGTAATTTTTGACATATGACACAAGCCTCGACAGAAACATATGTTTTTTTTAAATAGGAACCACAGTTGGCCATGACTTCATAAAACCGCCATTTTTTAAGCTTTTTAGCGATATAGGTTATAATATGTTTTTTTTTCGAAAAATTACTGAGATAGCCAATTATTATCCTTCTTGACTAATTTTACTTAGTTGGCATTCTTATTCTGTTATGATTTATAACTTATAAAAAGACAGAATATTGTATTAAACGTTTCTTTGCAATTTCCATTGCACAAACTAAAACTTAAAAAAATTATATCACTACATAAACTTTAAGTTATATTAGAAAATGTTTAAAAAATCCGCCATTTTTTTGAGTACATAAATGCATCTTTTTAAAACTGAATTACCTACTAGCTTTTCTCACAGAACTACAGGTCGAACTTTGTTAAACTTCTCCTGTACCGCCCCTTCGAGTACCTCTCTTAATTCATATGTTCTTTTGTAAACCTTGTTAACCATACCGCATAAAAAAATTGATCAGGTGATCGAGGAACAATTGGTCCACCTCTTCCTATCACTGAGTTTGCGTAATTATGATATAAATAATTTTTAACATTTCTTTTATTATTGGGGAGGGGGGTCATAATGAAAGTCATGTTCGAACCACTAACCACTCTATTGGTGTGCGAGTCTCTAAATTTAACTTTTCTAACATGTTTTGAAAACCGTTCTCTAAAAGGCGTAAGTAGCGTTCACCGGTCAACGTATCCTCGAAAATGTATGGCCAAAAAAAGTTGAACCAATAATCCTACACGCTTTTCTTTATTTAAAAAATTCATATTTAAAATTTTTGTTTATTTTAATTTACAAAGTTTGGATATGAGAGTTTCACATTTCTGAGAGTAACCACGTCGACGATTGAACTTGTTTCCATAGCTAACGAAATTGTTTAAAAATGATACGAAATGGCTATAATTCACAAATTTTTCGAAAAAAAAAACATATTATAGCCTATATCGCTGAAAAGGTTAAAAATGGCGCCTTTTTATGAAGTCATGGCGAACTATGGTTTCCATTTAAAAAAACATATGTTTGTATCATATGTCAAAAATGACAGGCTTTAGAAAAAAACGGAGGACAGTTTCATTAAGGATGTGATTATCTTATATATCTTAAATTTTTTTGTCTAAAATAGATTATAATGGAATAAGGGACAATTGTTAAAACAATTGAAATTTGTGTTTTTTTTCGAAATATCTAGTCAGCTATGAATTTTTTCAAAAATCTGAAAGGTGCATATTTATGACCCTACAACACTGCAATTTTTTCCCATGTAACCGACTCTCTATCTCCAGTAATTTCCGATATACCCATAAAGAACATCGTAGAAAACTCACCCTGTATAAAGTGACTTATACTTTAAGTTTTTATTTGCGTAATAAACTTGAAATAGATTTTCATTGTCTCTATTTTCTTTTGTGCCCAATTAGAAATATTTGGATAGTAATATTATTATGAATTTCCAAGTAGATACTAAAACATATTCCGATTTGAATATAAAAATATACAGAGTGTCTCTTTATTCCGTGGACATGGAAGTATCCCACGCAATATTAGAACTCACTGTATATTTTGTAGGTCCGCTTTGGAATAAAATCTCCAAATTTTTGTGGCATTTTTTTACTAAATACAAAAATGCATACTATATACATACTGCCATTATTACTCGCTGACGGGTATTTGACATGCATCAGAAGATGGTCACGCAAGGCGTTTTCTTCCATGAGCTTTTCTGTGACTGAAAAGCCCGATACGTGATGCTATCTGTCTACCGCAATCCGAACATTCAAAAATCTCATTGCTTTGTTGCCTCTTTACTTTTTGGTTATCGCTGTTAACTGAGTTTACAATTCTTCCCCATTGCGTTCTACTGTGCACTGCTTCTTCCTACTCATTCTGCATGTGAATCCCCTTTAAGTTTTCGTGGAAAATGTCCTTGTACCTTTTGAGTTGTCCACCCGGCCTCCTCTTAC